ATGGACAGTTTGAGGATAGATGATAATATCAAATTGGATTTAGAACTGGTTGAGTGATTGAGTCCAAATCGTATGTTAATGGCTTGTTGTCAACTTGGAAGGTCTCGGTGGAGTGTGCCAGTGACTTGTCCTTGACCAACCTTACCTTTGTTGTTGAACATTTTTATTAATGACTTGTTTGAAAGACTAGAGTGCATGCTTACCATATTTGCAGAAGATGCTAAACTATGAGGCATAGGCAACATATTGGATAACAGAATCAGGGTTACAAGAAACTCTCCAAAGGCTGGGACATTGGGCAAGCTAATGGAATGAAACCTAGTCAGGATTAACATAAAGTCTTATGATTAGGATCAAAAAACTCAACTTCATAAGTATAAAAGAGGGAGGCTAATGAGAAGTCAGTTCAAGAAAAGACAATACTTTTAAACTCAAAGTGAACTGTCCAAGTATAGCACAAGTTCATGAAATTTTTATAGTACACGAACAGACTGTCTATAACATAGGAGGAGATAGTATCTCTCTGTACTCAGTCATGGTAAAATCACAACTACAGTATTATGTTAAGTTATGGGTACCACATTTTAGGAAAAAATACTGACAAGCTTTGTATGCTGTTCCTAAAGAGAAGTAACCAGGATGGTGAGGAGCCTTGAGATAATGTCACATAAGGATCAATTGAAAAAATTTAGATATGTTCTCTGAGGAAGAGGAAAAAATAATGATAGCTAACATTTATATAATAGCTACTATGTTTCAGGCACTGTGCTAAGTGCCTTATAAATATTACTTTGCTCAAATCAACAACTCCATGAGATATATACTATGGGTATTATTATCTCATTTTAATGTACTCATGTGGTAGGTATAATCTGATCGTAATTATTATTTATGTAATGTTTTAATGTTTGTAAAGCATTTTACATATGTTATATCATTCCAATCAACAATCCCATGATGTAGATACCATGATGTAGATGCTATGAATATCATTATCTTCTTTTACAAATGAGGAAACTGAGACTGAAAGTTGTTAAATCCCTTGCTTACCAGGTAGTATTGTGAACAATGAGATCTGAACTCACATCTTCCTAACCTCGAGTCTATTACTCTATCCCCATACCATGATGCCTGAGATAAATGATCTACAAGTATTTGAAGAGAATCTATGCTTGTCCTACTTGGCCTGAGAGTAAATGGATGGAAATTGAAGAGAGATTGATTTTGGCTCAATGTAAAGAAAAAGTTCTGCTAATTAGAGCTATTGAAACCTGCAATGGGCTGCTTTGATAAGCCAAGGATCCTTTTTATTTGAATTCTTAAAGCAAACTATGGATGGCCTGTCATTGAGGATGTTGTAAGAGAAGATTACTGTCCATATATGGATTGCATCAGACAGCCTCTGAGGTTTCTTTTAACTCTATGATTCTGTGACTTTCCATGTATAAAATGGACCTAAAGGCCTGGAAATGCTTTTTTTTTAATCTATTAACTCAGAAAAGTTTTAACTGACCCATAGAATTTTCACCAGCCTTTTGGACATTGACCAGCACTAAACATGACGTGTCTGGATAATACTGATATTATAGGCCATAATTTCATTTTTCCTCCATTGTAATTTTCTTCTTGTGCTTCATTTTTGCATAGAGGTGACCCTGGATAGGTTCCTTAAAAATAAATCAATAAAGCATAGCTTATAGTCCTGCCAAACTGTAAAAGTGAATTTAGGCCTAGCAACAAATTTTTATTCTAGGATCCAGATAACAGTGCAGAGAAGCTAAAAGGTTAGCCCCTAAGTCATGAACTGCTTCACTCCAAGAACTGCTAAAATCTAGAGGGAATGTAGTCTAGACTGTGGAAGGATTGCCCACATTGATGAGATCACATAATTTTTTAAGTATTTTCTGTCCCCACTTATCTCCCTTCCCTATCCTTTCAGTATCCTGAACCTATGGATGGACTGGGTCAGTGGGGGCAGGGGAGGGAATAAGCAAGGAATCATATTTGTGATTAGATCCTTCAAGGGCACAATATAATTTGATATCTGCTCTGCAATATACAGTCTTAGAGAGTTTCCTGGACCACTCAGCTAGGACATGTCAAAGGCAGGAATTGAACCCACATTTTCCTTCCTCTGGGGTCAGCTTTCTATCTACTGTGTCATTGCTACCTCTAATAGATTGGAACCTCTACAGACCATAAAAGATTAAAACTGGGATTTATCTTCTAGCTCAATTGCTTTACCTTACAGATAAGGAAACTGAGGTCCAGTGAGGTTAAGTGACTTGCCCAAATCAAAATCAAAAAATAGTAAATGGCAGAACCAGGACTAAACTCCACATTTCCTGACCTTGATTCAGTGTTCTTTCTACTAGATAGATCAGTCTGACTCTTCTGGGCTAAATGGAATATTGGACTAAGGGTCCTTAAGAGCTTCAGAGGAGAATTGTGAGAGATAATGAGTTAATAGCTATGATGGTCTGTGAAATAAAAATACTACATAAATACCAAGTGTTACTGAGATTTACATTTTTGTGAACCAAACATACTATCTCCCTGCCCAAAAGATTCATAAGAATATTTAACACCCGTGTATGTACCAGATGGATTGTAATGACAGATGATGGGTCCTTCTTAACCCTTACGTTCTGTTTTCAGAAACCACATTTCAAAACAATTCTAGTTCTTTGTTAAAATTTATTGTGTAAAAGCTTGGTATACACCCTGAAATTGTATCAGCTAGGACTTCAGAGACCCTTAGTATGTGAGTCATTTATTCATTAACACACCTGAAAAACCTACAGAAATGTAAGCAGGTTGATGATGACACTATCAGAAGGCTATGTATGTTTATCAAATCTTAAATATATTTCTATATAGTTGTAATCTAATTGTTATGGTGTATAGGGTTGTTAGGATGTATAGGATATATTTCAACATCTGTAAGTATTTAAAAAAGACCCAAGACATACAGAGATCAAACATGTTCATAGCACATAGTCATAGAAAACAATGTAGAATGGGAATCAAAATTAAATAATTACTAGTCCCTATGGAAGAGACTTTGGTGGAGAGAGGGCCAAAGAAAAAGAAGAATGAGGGAAAAGAAACTTATTATGAAAGCATTATAACTTCACTTAAAAAAAAAAGTGGGATTCCCCTAGGAAGACATAATACTTCTCTTTTCTAGTGAAAGTAGTAGCAACAGACTCATGGTAGGGGTCCAGGTGGCCCCACCAATTATGAAATCCCCAGAATTGTAAAATGAATATTTATTATCTCGTGTCAAAATATTCATTTTAATATTCAAACATTTATGCCACATAACAAACTGTAACCATATGTTTATTTGTTATATTATACCACTATAACATAAATAAATATTTACAGAAAAGCAATTCAGTCACAGCAATATTAGAAAAGGTTCTTTTTCCTAATTTGCTTTTTAAGAAGACGTCAGACACATAGAAACTCATTTTAAATAATGTTAAGTTTGTTACATGTTGACAAGAGCCAAGGAGTTCAATATTTTAAGGCTGACACTCCCCCTTTTAACTAATGTTGTTTTATTTATTCTTTTCCCCAATAGTGTGCATTAAAGATGGAGTGTTATCTCAGCTTTGAATTTCCTGGCTTTATATCACAGCTTTAGCTTTATTTGAATGTACTATTCAGTATTTAATAAAGATGAGTTACACTGTTGAGTTTTCATTTAAGCAGACACTTTGGAACATAGTCCTTTTTTTTCCGAAGTTGGTTGGGATTTTTTTTGGGGGGGGGGGATTTGTAATACTGAGAAATTTTTGACTTTTAAAATATTTATCAACATATTTGATTTAAATGTCATAGTTAAAATGACAAGAATAATTAATTGAAATACAGTATTGAAATATCTGAAATATATTATTATTTCTTTATAAAATATCTCATATAACTAATCAACAGCCATCATTGAAATAAATGAAAATAAATTTGAGCACCCTGGCTTATAAACACTACTTCAGTGTAGAATCTGACAGCTGAGACTAGCCCTAGGCCTACATTCAGGAGACAAGAAATTCAGGATAAAGCATTGACTTTTCCCTTTAACATGTCAGGAGATTGACTCGAAGAAGTCTTTACCCAGATGGATAAGCTAGCAAAATTTTATGCCTGAAATGAGAAAGAACCTTTTCTTGATTATTAGTTATTGATTCAGTTTCCTAATTTTTGACATTTTTGTCTCTAGTAGCATGTTAATAATATAACGTTAAACTCAACTGTTTTTAATTTTCGTTTAGCATATGTTTTAGCAAAAAATTCCTTCATATGTTAAGTTTCAGTGTATTATTTCATCTGTGTGGTACTATAACTAGATTTTTTTAAAGTTATCAAAATGAACATAGTACATGAAAGCTCATAATCACTGTTTTTCCATAGCCACTTTAGCTGTGTTCTCTTTACCACCACCCCCCCTTTTTTTTTTCTCAAGAGCATGTAATAGGGAGTGGTGGGACACTATTACTGTCATGAAATGTATTATGTTCAATCCAAATCAGAGATTTGTATTAAAGAATTGTTTCAGGATCACAGGTTCCGAAATCATAGCACAATGTCCTGATTTCTTGTTTGTTGTTGTTGTTGTTGTTGTTTGTTTGTTTGTTTGTTTTTCCCACTGGTAGAAAAGAGGACGTTACAATTGATTACTTTCATTTTATTCAGTTACCATTGTCTCTAATTTGAGTAGCAAAGTATCTATGGTCTTCAATATCAAATGACTTCAACCTTTTTACTTCTGTCATTAATTGATTGAGTCTCATTTTGAAAGAGTTTCCCTCTTTGTCATTATTAACAAAAACCTTCTATTGTTGACTCACTGTATCTGTATAAAATTTATTTTCCTTAGTATAGCATATGATGTGTCAGCCTTGAATTACTGGATAGCTTGAACCTCTCTCGTACAAATGAATCTGTCTTACATCCTGTGTCAAGGTTTGAACTTTCCAAATTATGTATTTCAGACGTTGAGAAAGAAGGGACTTAATGGTTGTGACAGTCCAGACCCTGATGCAGACGATTCAGTAGGTCACAGCCCTGAGTCTGAGGACAAGTACAGGAAAATTAATGAAGATATTGATCTAATGATCAGCAGGCAAAGATTATGTGTAAGTACCGAGAACGCCCTTCGTTTTTTTTTTACTTCTGATATTTCTCTGAACCTGGCAGGCATTGAACAAGAAAGAAAACAAAGGCTGTGAAAGCCCCGATCCTGACTCCTCTTTTGCACTCACCCCACGCACTGAAGAAAAATACAAAAAAATTAATGAAGAGTTTGATAATATGATCAAGAGTCATAAAATTCCTGTAAGTACCAAAGGGAGATGAGATAACTGGTCTGCTGACGACTGCTGCAGTAACAAACCTTAACCCCTTCAGTTCTGGCTTACTCTAGTCAGTATCTGAGAGAAAAACAAAAAAAAATACCCACATAAAAATAAAAAAACTCATGTAGCACTTTAAGACTTGCAAAGTGCTTTATATATCTATATCGATATTATCTCATTGCTAAAGATAGCTCATTTTCTAAGTATCCCTTGAACATGAGCATTCTTTGATTTGAAGTTATTGTAGTCGAAATAGTAGGGGTTTAGGAAGCATATTTTAGGGCTGAAGACTCACAGGGAAGAAATAGGGGTGTGACCTATGACTACATTGTCATGGGGAACTCTGGGATGCAGAAACACCCTGTACCAAAACAGATTCGTACCTGTCCTGTAACTTTCAGTCTTACAAAGCTGTGTAGGACACTGAAAGGTTAAATGACTTGCCCAGGGTCACACAGCCAGCATATATCAGAATAGGGACTTAAGCCCAGGTCTTTCCTGACTCTAAAGCTGGCTTTTGATACCCTATACAATGTTGCCTCTCTTAGAAGGAATTTAAAAGTTAAAGACAATATCCCCCAGCTTTATATAATTCTTCTACCATAAAATGTACACCATTAATATAATACACTGAAGGAAAATACTGGAAATCTTCCTGGGAACAAGTTGAAAATATTTTCAGTGTTCACATGTAACCAAGACACTCGAAGAATTAAAATTCTCTCAACTCACCTAACAAAGACATCACACAAACATCCTTCTCCTAATGAGACCAGATCCTAGGGCTCTATGCTAAGCTCAGTAACAGCACTGAAGGGTTAAAGCTATTTGCTCGCTGCAGAGAAACAGACTGCATGAAAGCCTCATAGTAAAATTTGCACCTGTCTGTGTGCTGGGGTGACGTTACAGCTTGATCAGGAAATTTGCTTCGCCAACATCACCATTTTCCATGCTTTAACATTTTGGCTAAATTTTGTCTTAACTAAGTCAAAAATCTCTAACAGTCAGTCATATGCCTTGCCAGATACTTGAGAAATAACTCTGCATGTGCTATTTTGTTTACATACAAAGGTAGAAAAAAATACATGCCCTGATTAAATATTGTCACTATCCAAATAATGTTAAGTTTGTGATATAAACTGATGAAATTCGAAGCTGACATGCTTTTTTTGAATGTCTCTTGTTAATGTCACAACCTTAATCTTATTTAAACTTCATAGGTGGTAATTAATTTCTCTTAAAAAGTACCTTTTCATTTAACAATAGCAGCCTTATCCTGAAGAAGGAGATAGACTGGTCTCCATGGCGAGAATGTGCTAGACAATTAGTATCTATTAATGCCTATTCTAGAAGAAAAACTCCAAACCAAATAAGTTCATAACTTAATTAGTAGCTAATTTTAATCATATTTATCATATGGATGCCCATTAAATTCATACTTTCTGATTAAGTGGATTTTATGTCAACAACAGAGTTTTTATCTAGTTGGACTTATACTATATATAAGAAAATACAAAGTATACTAAGCTTTAAGATTTTCTAAAAAAAGAAGTGAAAATTACTCATAGAAGCTTTGTGGTAGAAACTTTACCATGTATAGTTCTCTGTATCAAAGAAAGGCATGGAAAATGTAAGTCTTCAAAATGTTGAATTTGGTTAGCTATCCATAAAATCAATCCTGCTATAGGGAAAGAGCACTAGAGGTCCAGAGTTTGTCATTCTTCATATGGGAGTCCCTCCTACCCACTATGGTACCAGTTATGTGCTGAACATATAAAGGTTTTGAATTGTCTAATACCAGTTTTTAGGAGATTGTCATAGGTTCACTGGTCAGAGGACCAATTATCCCACTCTAGAAAAGGATAATGTGCTAATCCCTGTTCCAGGTGTACCTTTTCCTTTGTCCTCTATTTCCTGTATACATTTTCTATTTAGAAAAATCCTGAATACATCCTGTTTGGTGATTGTGTAAACCCTGATAAGCAGAATTTCTTAGGATCACTTTCTTGCTTTATGTACAAGTGCAGGTGTACTTCATCTCTAAAGATGCAAACAGTGGTTAAAATATCTCTCTGTTCTCTCACTACACATCTTCCTTTCGCACATAAAATAAAAAATCATGCTGCGTAATTTCTCAGAAGGTCCAATAATGGATAGCATAAGAATCAAAGTCAAATTTGATTAATTAAAAAATATTCATTAAACATTTGCTTTGTTCTGGGTACTGTGCAAAACACTAGGTAATTTTGTTATTTATTATGTGTATATGTGTTATTTCCCCTAATAAAAAGTAAGTTCCTTATTTTTGACTTTGTATCACCAGTGCCCAACAAAGGGCCTAGCAAACAGTAGGTGCTAAATAAAAGCTTGTTGATTGGTTGATAAAGATGAATGAAATGTGGCCATGGCCATAGAAGAATTTATAATCTACTTTTATAAAACCTGTCTCAATCTGTCCTCCCCCTCTATTTACTGTTACTCTGCAAGTCCTAGTTGGCACTCATCTTTATTTATTCTTATTCTTATACTTATTTTAATTGCCTCTGAACAAGCCTTCCTACTTCCATTCTCTCCAACCTCCAGTCCATTCTTCACACTGCTGTCAGATTTTTCTTCCCTCGGTTTAGATGTAGTGATGTCATTACTTTATTCAAACTTCTTCAGTGACTTTGTAATACTTTCCAAAAGAGATTCAAACTCCATAGCCTGGTATGTGTGGCTGTCCACAGTGTTCAGTTGTGTCTGATTTTTTTGTGACACCATTTGGGGTTTTCTTGACAGAGATACTGAAGTGGTTCACCATTTCCTTCTCCAGCTCATTTTACAGAGGAGAAAACTGAGACAAATAGAGTTAAGTGACTTGCCTAGGGTCAGACAGCTTGTAAGTATCTGAGGTCAAATTTGAACTTAGGAAGATGAGTCTTCCTGACTTCAGGTCCAATACTCTATCCACTGTGCCACCTAACTGCTCATTCTATCGTTCCAACCTTATTTCACACTACTATTACTACTACTACTACTACTACTACTACTACTACTACTACTACTACTACTACTAC